TCATCGGCAAACTTGCTGAGGGTGCACTCGAAATGCTTCTGTGCACAATGACAAAAAAGCACTGTTCAAACAAAACAGCTTGCCCATCGTCTGTTAAAAAGAAAGCCTAAGACGTTCTCAGAGGCACTGAAGCAATTTTCTAACTGCCCACCTGTTGGCAATATTATTACTACACATAAAAGCAAAAGGACACGGACAACATTGGCCATACGAGCAGCTGACAATCCTCATCATCTAAATATCAGGCTCATCAGATCTGAAGGTCATGACATTAACTTCCTTGACTTAATGTACAAACAAGCTAATATTTGATGTTGGGGAGTCTAGATATCCCTCTTGTACAAAACACATCACTTGGCAGACTAACTGAGCAGGCAGTTTTGTGACTGGTGTTGAAGAGAAGTTTCATATGTGCTCAGATATTACTGATCGCTTTACAGTACAAACCCAGCCAACTACCACTCCAATTTCTCAATTCCTGCTAGCAGTGTGCCTACCTAATTCACACATGAATATTCTAAAGAGTTTGACCGTATCAGCTATCACTTTCAAACTTTTCTACTGAAAAAAACTACAAGGCAAAGATGTAATTGGCAAAGAGAAATTCACCCTTGTTGGAAGCACAAGCAAAAATCAGATTCTTGCTGGACAGCTGAATTCACACAGAAGCTTCTATTTGCAGCTTATCCAGTACATGCCACCTCTATAAATACGTTACTATTGTCACAATGTAGCATGGAGAACAGACGGTTGGTATCATCATAATCGCATCATAAGTGAATTCTAGTTACTTCTTACAGTCAATAAATGGTTCTGCTAAGACACAAGTAAAAAAAAAGAAAGTATTTCAAATGATGTAATGCAAAAGATAAAAAGCTGTATTTCAAAATCAGTGTGGATTCAATTCCGAAACAACCACTACTATTATTTGTTACTACGTTCTTTCTTGAAGATATGTGAAACTTGTCTAAAAGTGCCATGAGACAAACAGGAATAGCACTAAATCCTTCTCCAAAATTAAGAGGTACTCTTTTGTTTTTGTAGATCCAGGCATGGTAATGAAATGGGGAATGTGGCTCACCACTAATCCTGCTGCACCAATCGCACTTTTGCGGATTACTCTATAGACCCATTCAGCTTTCAGTCTGTAAAAAATTTTGCAACTATTTTAGACGTGACAAAGACAACGTGTGTCGTACAGATAGCGCGGAAGTATCATCAAACAAAAAACTTAACACAGCTGTATTTACCTGAGAATCATCTGTCTTTCCTTATATACCTTCTGCTTGTATTCTATTCTCTGTTATTATCCACTTTTCATTTTTCAGATACATTCCCTTTTTATTTCTGTATCAAATCCAATATCGTATATAAAGAGAAAAACAAGCAAAAGTGCCAGTTTTTGTCTGTGTGCTTCATCCCATTATAGCCTTTCACTCCCTAGACCTATCATATCCATTCTCTCTTTTGCCACTTCCTCTACAGCAGAGTGGCAAGACATCTAGTATTTTATATCCAGTAGAGGAGTTAAGAATCAATCTTGTCCATTCTTGTCTTGCAGATATTTCATCAAGAAGGAAGAACGCAAAACTGACTTGCATCCCACAGTAAGCGGCTGTAGCAGCACAGTGAAGGGAACAATACATCTCACGGGAGACTACCATCACAAGTTAGAAGTTAGGGACCAGACTGGCTTATGAACACAAAATAATTTCTAAGGCAGGACAGAGATCGTTTCAGCACAGACAGCAGGTGCAGCTACTGTTCTGCCCCTCTGCATCTCAGTTTAACTCTGAGAAGCCAAGAGGACACAGCCCTTTAGAGAGAACAATTCCATTTCAGAACTAAGGTCCATCACCTCTTCAACACTAGCAGTAGCCACCAGTCAGCATGGGAGAGTACAGTGCAATTTGCAAGTATCATTGAAGGCTCTCTAAAACGCCAAATACGCCACAAACACAGCTGAACAACTTAACTACAGGGCAATACTTTCCTACTTTGCTGCCACTCCATTTAAATCAGCACAAGGTTTTAACCGAAGTTACGCTGCTCAGGCTTCTGTGTAGGCACGCAAGAGCAGATCAGAGCTACTGCACATCTGTACAATGTCCTACGTGCTCCAGAGCCTCATAGAGCCTACATCTCTGTGCTCGTCAAAGCAAATGAGAACAGCTGTTGGACATGTTTCAGTCACCACAGCCCTCCATGTGCCTCCAGGTGCGCATATCCAACTGGTATCCTTCACTATCTGCATCTTCTCCCAGCTACATCAAGCCCTGCCAGGCTAATACAACCAACACGCACGCATTCCAGTATCTTAAACTATGAGTGCTTTGGGTTTACCTTTTCACTGGGTTCAGTATAACAAAATATTGTGGGCACAGCATTTTCTTTCAGAAGCTTGTTGTTGCATTCCCTTTTAAAGCAATCGGGAGTAAAGTGTTCTGAACAAATGCTGCTATACTTGGTTGGCTTGAAGTTTTTCCTTTTAACAGCAGCTTCCCATTTCTTGCAAAGATCAGGTCTTGTAAGAGGAAACCTGTAAATAAGAAGTACTTTCAGCTTTTCTGGAAAGCTTTTTAACACGGGGTCAGGTTACAGCTAAGCACTGCTGTGACTGACTGTATGATCACTTGGTTCTTCCTCTGACGGGCTCATCTTCGGAGCCAAACCCCTCCTGCCAACCCAGACATGGCACGCGGACCGAGCTGGGGGGTCTCTAAAAGCCGGGGGGGGT